CCCTGACCCAAAGCCCAGAGGGAATGGAGAGGAGTCATGCACCATTGGCCACATGGGCTCTGGAGAGGAGACATGCTGACCCGCAGTCCCACCCAGAGGCCCGGCTCTCTCCTCAGGGTCACCGTCAGCTGTGCCCTGTGTCGCTTTGACATCCCTAACTTCTGCAGGACGCATCTATTTAATTGATGGGTTTCCTGAGTGGAGTAAGAATATCAAGAACAACAGCAGAGTTAATTCTTAAATCCAGGAGTGAAGACAGGAGGGAGATCATGAAAACAGATGATTCGCACTCCTGCTCCCCCCATGTCAGTCACACAGGCACTTGCTATACAAACTGTTTTGTCCACTTTAGGCCTTAGGGTTCAGAAGGGTCTCACACACCCTCTGCAACAGCCTTAAGCCCAGTCAGCCCGCTGTCATTGAGTCATTTCTGATTCGTAGAAACACTCCATCAGCGTCTGAGCCCGCCCATCTGACCCCCACTTGAATTTGAACCACTGGTCTTTCAGTTCTTGGTGCAGTGCTTTATACACTGTGCCACCAAGGCTGTACAAAACCCTTGGACGATGGCTGTTCATGCCCCTCTTTTGCAGATGTGGAAACTGAGACTGAAAGCGATGTGTTGAGTTGCCCAGCGCTATATCCACGGGGCTTTGACCTCCCACCTGGCCCTTCCCCTGCTATACCTCCCGCCTCCCTCAGAGTCGCCCCTTGGGAATTCTGAGCTTGTCAGGGTTCACAGGGTGGCCCCATTTGTTTTAGGCCACCACAATCTTTGTTGCAGCCCTCATTTTGTACTATTACGACTTCCCAGCCGGCAAAAAGCCCCAGTTAGTGAAAGGTGTGGTAGCCATTGGAGGTGAAAACAGACCACAGTGTCGAGGAGTTTTGCTCCCAAAGGCAGATGTGAGCTGCTCTGTGGTGTTATACAGTTGAAAGCTCAAAAGCCATGGATAACCCCAAACTTCCTGTCCTCAGGGGCAGCCTGCCCTCCACGCAAGTCCACAGAGGTAACAACCTTCTGCTTCACCCTTGGGCCTTTTGAGAGGCTGCCTGCAGCCAGGCCAGCTGGATTTCCCACTCACTCACTTGCTTGTACATTCTTTAAGTCACAAGTACCACTTGGAGTCTTTTGGACCCATTAGTCTCAGTGTCTCTTCCTTCTCCAGCCCAGATTCAAGATACTGCCTGGGGCCCATTGTCCATCCTCTGATAGCTGCTGGCACGGCTCGATCTGAGGGGGAAGGACGAGCCTTCTTCTGCTTTAAGGACACTGTAGCTTGTGGAAGCTGTTTGTCTTTCCCCCAGGGGTCTGGAAGAGCTCTGGTTTTCATTATCCTTTTCAGCAGGAGGTGGAGGCGGTGATGGAGGATAGCTGCGGTTCTCCACACAAACCTCCTGAAAAAGCAAGGAGTAGTAATATCTCCTACAATTTGGTTTAAAGGAAATTGCCTCTTTCAGGGCCTACTTCCCCTTAGAGCAACCGAGGGCTTGTTTCTGAAGAGAGTGCCTCCAGCGGGGGAGGTCAGTGAGCTGTCTCCTAGTTCTGAACTTGGGCTAAAAATAGCTCTGTGCATGTGCTTTTCATGAGGAGATGCCGCCTCTGGATAAGAAGTCCTCTTGAGTCTTGGATCTTATGTGATCCTGATACTCAGCCTCTCCAAGCCTCTCATTTTCTTCCCATCACCGTCAAGAGTCCACTCATGACCCCTGTGTGCTCCATTAGTGATAGTTCTGCATTTAACTCAGTGGATCAGAGATACCCCTCTCTGCCCCGGGCCTGTTCCTGCCTCCAGCCTCTCTGCACCTTGAGAGAGAAGGAAGAGAAATGTGTTAGAGGAGATGAGCAGGGTTGAGGTGAACAGCATTGCATGAGACTACGAAGCAAGGTGGCATCCCTCAGGATTCTGTACTCACCTTAGCTCTGCAGCCATCGGCACTGCGGTGGCCACCGGCAAGCCGACTAGGCCCCTCTTGTTCTTGTGTTTGGTGGACCCTCAGAGATGCCTGCCACCGTCTTTAGAATGTGAGGTCCTCGTGCCCTGTGCCCCTCCCGTGGCCTCTTAGCGCTGATGCTCACGTGGTCCACGGTAGTTCTCATAGTTTGCTTTGTGCTTCCCTCTGGCATATATGCCACAGTGCTGGAACTTCCCAACAGAAGATGATTGATGAACATCACAAATGATTCTCAGACGAAAGGGTTAGAGTTCCACCATCTTTTCACAAAACAAGTCAAGAGATTCAGAGCCAGACACAGGGGAAGAACGCTTTACCGTGGCTTTCCCTGCTCTTCAGGGTAGGGGCTTCGCTTTGTTTTCCTGCTTTGGGGTTTTGTCTTTGTGTCTCTTCTGCTCCTCTGTGTGGAACATGAGTGTGAGGAGACGTTCTCTTGAGCGCTTCCTAAGGGAAGACGCCCCTCAGCCACTGGGAACACTTCCAGGAGATGCCCTTGGGTTCTTCCAAGCAGTGAGTGGTGATGAATCAATCGCATTCCTAAAGGGTGTTCTCAAAGCCAGTGCCAGGGAGCCTGTGACACTGCTGACCGTGCTTCTGCCTGGGACTCTGCCTCTGCAGCTTCTCCCGTCTGTCCTCAAACACGGCTGCTTCCGCCCACATCCCTCCCCTGGAAGTGGCCTCGCATTACGTTGCATTACATATATATATATATTCTATCAGTTTCTCAACAGCAGCACCACTGGTACTTGGGACTGGCTGATTCTTTATTTGGGCAACTGGAAGGGTGTCCTGTGAATTACAGGATGTTTAGCGACATCCTCAGACTCTAGGTGTCCATAATACCCCCTCAACCCGAGTCATGGAAACCCAAAATGCCCTCAGACGTCGTCACAGGGCCCCTGGGGAATGAGAATCCCACCCTCCCCCACCCCGGTTTTCACCACTGCTATCTCCGAAGTAGAGCAATCTCTTCAGCTGTCATTATCTTCACAACAGTATCTGAACGTGGTGCCCAGTGGAGATGGCTCCTGTTTGCCTGCTTGTCCTTTTAACTGGCGAGCCAAGCACAGCCTCCTGCTAATGCCCGGGAAGCAGCAGCACGCCCTGGTTTCTTGCTGGAAGAGGCTCCCTGAGCAGTTCAGAGTGGCCCGTGCATGTGGTGATGTGACTTGCAGAATGCTGCCTCTGTTGACTTTCGCTTTGAAGCCCTCCATGATGGTGGAAAGGTGGTGTGTTGGAGTGGCAGCTTTGCTATCCCTATGCAGGAAGCAGGGCCAGTGTGGCAAGCAGACCTGAACGTCTGCTCTCCGTGGTGTGATTTGAAGGGCTACAAACAGTCCCCTGACTCCCACTTCCTCCGCCTGCCATGCACACAAGCCCACCAGTCACCGCAGTCCCAAACTATATTGGATAGTTGGTTAGAACAGTGAACATGACCTTGGGAAGCTTCCTTTGTGGAGACCTTGCTTTGAGTTTATAATGGGCTTTCCAGTTTGACAGGCTCCCAGAGCCAGTTTTAGCTGATGAGAAGGTGGAACTAGATGTTCAAGGTAATCTTGTAGGCGGTAGGATGTAGGGAATAGAGTGTGGGAGGTAGGAACGGAACGTGAGAGAGGAGGAGAGCGTCTGGACGCCCCCGGCCTCAGAGAAAGGACAGCCGTATGTGTGACTCTCAATCTGGGCTGGGCTCTGGGCAAAGCATGACTCCTGACCTTCACAACATCCTGGGGAGGGAGGTCTGATTATTCTCCCCATCTTACAGATGAGGGAATTCAGTGCACCCCACTTCATAGCTTACCTCGAGGTACCCCTGTTAAAAATACCTGGTTAATGGAAAACTTCCTCACTTACAATTCATTCACCTCACCCTGTGATACTGTTTTGTGCCCTCAGGTCCATTTGGGCTCACAGTCACTGGAGGGCAGAGCAGAACAACTCCTTTCGCTCTGCTGGGCTATAAATCTTTAGCTTATCAGGTATCTTCTCCCTTGGAGATGCGGGTGGATTTGAACTGCCAGCCTTCCATTGAGCACTTAACCACTCCACTCTTAGGGTGCCTTTCTGTGGTACTGGTGAAAGAGTGGTGATTTGCAATAAGCTGGTAATAGTTGTGTCACCAGCAGCCCTCCCAGCATTCCCTGGTGCAGGGTCTCCCTCATCCTGGGAACTTCAGCATACCACGCCCCTCAGATGGCGAGAAAAGTGAGGTCACCGTTGTCTTCCGTTCTGGGCTGGGCTCTCCCAATGCTGCTGAAGCTGTTGTGACTCTCCAGGATATTAAGGAAGCAGCCCTGACTGCAGCCCTCCTCTGCATAGAGTATTCTTGGGAGCCCTGAATAAGGGACCATCTAAGACAGACAGCTTTGCTGACCTCAGAGATGTTCCAGGACCCCAGTGCAATCCTCCCCTAGTCCAAGACCACCTTGCACATAAACCCAGGGTCATCAGTGTGTCCTCCAGCTGACCAGACTGATCGAGGTGTGCTTGAATTTCCAGCCCAATGGGGATTCAACCAACCTTGCCACCAGGTTCACCCCATACTTGCTTATAGACCAGCTGAGAGGCAAAGTGTCTCGGTCCCTATGGGAAGGCAGAGAGAGCGTAGCTTTTACTTTATGATGAATATTGAGGCAAAGGACCAGAATCTGGGACAGTGGCTTCAATCTCTCCATTCTGAGCTGGCTGCTTGCACACCCAAGAACTAGCAGACCTTTTGCAGAGGGATCGGCCTGCTGGCCACGTGAGCGTGGGAGATGTCCACGGCTCTATGGGCTCCGTGGGTGAAGGTATCTCACTGCCTGGTTGCCAGGAGTGCATTTCTACCCTGGGTCTCAGTTCTGTGAGTACTCGAACTCTTGAGATTGAATAATCGTTCTGTTACTGTTTGCTGTGCCTGGCTTTGAACCAAGTAGGCCTCCAAGCTCTCCAGCATTCTTTCGGCCTCCCAAGTGTCCCCGTTTCCCGCAGTGGGCTCTTGGAGAGCTGCCCCCGACCCCACACCCTGTACCACCCACTGACCCTCTCTTTTCTTTTTCTCTCCACAGTGTGGCAAAGGAGCAGAAAACTTTGACAAGTTCTTCACGCGAGGGCAGCCCGTCCTCACGCCGCCCGACCAGCTGGTCATTGCTAACATAGACCAGTCCGATTTTGAAGGGTTCTCGTATGTCAACCCCCAGTTTGTGCACCCCATCATACAGAGTGCAGTATGAAACTTACCCCCCTAACACCCCGAGAACAACAGCCTCCCCAGACCCCAACCCCACCAGCAGTGGGAAATGATCCTTAACCCTAAAATTTTAAGGCTATGGCCTTTTTCTTATTCCAGGTGGAGGCCTGAAAATTGTAGGGTTATTAGTCCAAATGTGATCAATTAACTGTTCAGGGTCTCTCTCTTCCAATCAAGGAGTATTATCTTAGCGGGGCGATATGATGTCCAGTGTCCCGTTGAAACGCATAGCTGTCACATATGGCTGTAGGTTAACCTTTCCTAGGAAGCACGTGGACTCTTGCCCTGGTTTGGTACGATTTGATACCTTCTCCATTCCCTCTGATTGTCTCTTTTCAATATTGGGATACCCCCCCCCACCCCCTGCAGCCTGCCCCAGCCCTAGGGGTCAAGAAGCATCTCCGCCCAAGATGTCTCTGGAAGGCAAGAAGGATGAGAGCAAATAGAGACTGGGGGTGAGAGGAGGCTTAACACTCCCACCTGCGTCCTCTGTCTTCATGGAAGCAATGCTTCGAATCCAGAGGGTGGCGAAATGGGAATGTCCTCCCGCCAAGAGTCTGTGCAAGCTCTCCATCTTCAAAATTGACACTTTCCAACAACCCAGTGGTTCCCAGCTTGGAAACAGAAAGACCATTTCAGAAAAGTGTTCCTCAGCCTTTGTCCCCTGCTCCGTCCGTCTCTGGCTTGATACATGCATTTCTTTTTTAAGAGGCCAAATCTACCAAGGACTTTGCTAAAGGAGCATGTGAAATCATAGCAGATGGAGGACGACCCAGCGCGTGCGTACGCTCAGCTTCAGTCTCTGGGAGATTGCTCTGTGACCCAGGGTGCCATCAGTAATGCCACTTCTCCAGAACCTTGTTCGCCAACCCCACGCCCAGCGGTACTTTGCGACCTCCGGCGTCTCTCCTCACCAGCCGTGTCCGCCCCACCCGTTTTGTACTTATTTATTTACTAGGTCGCCATGTCGTTAAGCGAGCACCTTGTACAGTGACTTAACTCGAGTGTTGACTTCCACCTCCGCCTCTCCTGATGCTTCTCCTGCCCCGGCCCCTGCCGACCACCAGGATGGACGCCCACCTGTAAGACGGTGTTCCCTTGTCCCCGGTTCAAGTTGGATGACGTCGCTGGAGCCCAAGGATCAAGAAACCTGGCTGCACACTGGCTCCCAGGCATCCTGTTGCTAGAAGGATTTTCATATGTTTTGCAAATGCATCATGCAATGGATTTTGCATGTTTATAATAAACCTTAATAACAAGTGAATCTATATTATTGATATAATCGTATCAAGTACAAAGAGAGTATTATAATAATTTTATAAGACACAATTGTGCTATATTTGTGAAGGTTCTTGTTTCTAATCTGCTTTTATGATTAAGATTTAGGTTAATTCCTTGCCGCCCCGTGCTAGCCTCCTGGCCCCCACCTGCCCCATGCATCACCCCATGCATTGACACTCTAATCTGATATATAAATTTTTTTTAAATGTAGATCTAATTTCAGAAATTAACAGCTACTTTACATGACTCGATTAGGCGTTTACTATACATATGTATAGATATATATATACATATATATATATATATATTTGATTCTGCCTGCAAACCAAACTTTTGTTTGGGCGATGATGTTTGAGATCAGACTGTCTCTTAGCTTCTTCATGTCATCTTCCCTTCAAATTCAGACGCCACTCTCCAGCCTGAAGAAGTTGTTGGTTCCAGTGTCCCTTGTGTGTCTGCACAGATATGGTATTGTCTTGGCACCTGGGCTGGCCTTCAGTTGTGTTGTTTGTTGTGACCAGTGATGCCAGGGTTAGAGAGGGAGACTACCTTCTCCTGTCTGCATGGAAAAAGCAGGGTCGGTTGTCTATCCTGCGGCCCCTGGACCAGCCCACTGTCACCTCTTGAATGTACCACATCCCCCAGGAGGCCAACTGTCAGCTAAGCCTTGTGTCAGCCAGCCCGTGCGTCAAGGCATCCGTCACCCACAGGTTGACAAACTCTTGTGAGGATGTTGGCTTCTCGCTGTTGCTAGAACCGCCTTCTGTAATTCTTGTGAGGAGCCTGTCTGTGGTGAACCACCATCCCAGGATCCTTGGAGGACCGAGACATCTTACGACATAAAGATTGAGCATAGAAGTATCTACCAGCGGGGCACCTTCAGTCCTCCTCCTCACTCCTCCTCTCGGGTTGTTGGCCGGAAATCCAGGTCACATACCACTGCTGGAGGGTCTTTGAGGCTAGAGGTCTAGGCTTTCTTGGAAACTGTAGCCTGGAGGGAGAGATAGAGCAGAAAATGGATCCCACCAGAAAAAAAAAAAAACAACAACAAACAAACAAGCCGTGTCTGCCACCGTCTATGGACTGGTCATCAGAATTGCACAAAGAGCCTGGTGCAGACTGTCTGCAGACCCACTGCTCATTGCATCTCTGGGGCTCCCTCCTCACCAGGTATGCCTCATGGTCTGATGGGAAAGGGACCAACTTACAGAAAGCCCAAGAGAAAAAGACCAGTCACCCTGTCCCAGGACGGAGCAGCAGGATTCGTCCCCAGCCTGGAAAATAAGCAGTGTCCCAGCGAGGGACACCTCCATTACAAACCCCTGTTCCAGGGTCCCAAATTGCCAACTTGGCATGGCTCAGGTATTCCCTCAAAAGGCCACACTTTTCCAAATAATTCCCATTCTCCAGGAAACACATTCACACATCCCAGCTGGCTTGTATTCTTTCAGAACATGTGGCAGAGTTTTCAAAGCCTGGACAGTGGCCGTGGGGCCCAGCACCCTGCCTGAGCTACGGCTGCCCAGGGAGTCCAGCTTGGGGGAAGTGAGTCCAGACATGCGGGAAGTCAGTGTGAACCGAGCCTGTTCTGCATGTAGGTAAGTCCTGGTCTTGGATCCAGGCAGATGCATTAAGGATCTGAGCAGCCTGGAAGAGGAATTGTTGAAAGGATAAATCATGTGGGTAACCATTATCAGCTGTCATTGGCGGACTATTTATAAGGCTCTGTGGTGGTGTCCCACTTCGTGAGAATGGTGTGGAAGAAAACACTATCATGTTTTGGTCCTGTTGGTGGCCGCTCCTTCAAGAGTCAAGCCGTCCTGGGCTCACTGGTACTAGTGCTGGAGCCATGGCTTCCGTTACCAGGGTCTGCAGAGGCATAGGCCACCCGGCACGATCTGACACCCTCTGAGTATCCGCGGGACCCCCGGACTGTGACCCCGAAAGACAATTCAGATTGCTTTGTGTTATTTTCCCCTGAGATCTGGCCACCTCTTGGTGGCAGAATTTCCCCCGAGGCTACAGGCTGGCTTCCTGGTCACCCTGCTGTTGCTGGCACCTCCCCTCCTAAAGTCACAAGGGGTCCAGTTGTGATGAAAGTACCAGGAGCAGGCTGCAGGGCACTCGCATCCTGACAAGAACCGATTCCAAAGACAGATACAAAACCCCAGGAAGTGAAATGGCCATGCTGCAGCACATGGACTCCTCCCTGGTCCCCGTGGCCCCGGGGCAGTGCAGTTCAGAATCAGCCAGCATTTTTGATGAGATGTATTGCAGGGTTTTTTGTTAAGAGTGTTGGTGGAGAAGCAGGGGGTCATGAGCTTTCTGGAAATGATGTGAGGTGGTTAGCTGGAAGAAAGTAACAGATGAGCATGCCTGCAGTCCAGCCAGCATTTGGTGAACACTTCAAGTTTACACGCTTGGCCGAGCGTGGAGACTTGCTGGGATGAGGGTGCAGTCCCAGGAGAGCTTTGAACTGCTGTTTAAAGGAGTTGGCATGGCTGGAGCATGTGGGGGAGGATGCTGGCAATAAAGGGAGCCAGGAGAAAGAAGAGGGCATGCTGGAGGGCCACTGCTGTCACCAAATGATGGCTTTCCATCCACCAGGTGATGTGGGTGCAGATCAGAGTCCCTGAGAACATGACACCTGAGACATAGCCTGTTCTCTGAAAATAGCCTACAAGACCAAGAGTGTCATCCCAATGGCTACAGCCCTCGACTCCCAAATAGCTCCCAGTCTCCTGGACAAAACCACACTGCTCATTGTCCCCCAGAAGCCGGGAGGATCCAACCCTTTTCCCACTGTGACTGCAAAGGATCATGGGTATTCCATAGAAGCGTCATAGAAGAGAAAAAGGCTGCAGGCCCTCGATTCTTTGTAACAGGAGGAAACTCAAGGTTTTTACTGGGATTTATTTTCTCAACCAAAGTGGAGGGGGAAATGTGTGTTTTCCACAAACTTCAGCAAGGTGAAGCCATCTGACAGATGTTTTCTTGCTTGGGCCTCGTGAAGTCACCTCTCCTGGGTGCGCACATGCCCTTTTTTTTTTAGAACACAACAGGAGCAGAAGGGCCTGTCTCCCCTTGGTGAGCACACCAAACAAGCATGACCATGCCACAGAAGCTGAGCCAACACCCCAAAAACAGCAGACCCGGCCACTCCACTGTGGACAGTGAAGGTCTCTGCGGCAGCACTGGACATGATGCTGGTACCTTGCATTATTATGAAGGAAAAGGGTACTCTGTGTATCAGCACCGACATGCTACCTGGACGAGGAGTGTTGGGAATTTTCTTTGTTTCAGTGTACTCCTTCAGGTGCTTGGGCAGCATTTTAGGAAAGTATACCAAACTATACATCATTCTGTCATTTCCCCTTTGGGCTGACACGGCCAATCTCGAGAATGCTGTGAGTTTCTGCTGTTGGAAGAAGCAGAAAACCAGGGAATGTTGCCTTGGTTGACCATGAGTGCAGCCAGTGTCCTAGATGTGATGTCAAGTGCAGGTCACCCTTCTTCATGATGTCAGGGACTCTGGGAGGGTTCCTAGCGCCAATGACCATGACCGAAATCCCTGTGCTTCTGATCCATGTGATCAGACCGCGGTGAATAATAACCGCATGAGTCAAGCCCAGGAATCAAACAGCCTTACAATGACCCTACACTCAAGCCCACAAGTTCCAAAGACATGTTTTTTTAACCTTAGGGAATAAATTGATTTGTGACTTCACATAGAATAATGGGGATCTACTGGGCTCTTTGTACTTTTTTATAGAGAACTTTAATAATTCAGCTCCTCTTTTAAAATGTGTTTTTAATATAAAGCTATTGACGATTTCATAAGATTCGGATCACATAGAATCTGACTTGACTGGGGTCGGCTGGAGCACCCCTGACCTGCACGCCTGCTGCAGGA